ATTGGCTTTCCACTGCTTTGGAAATAAAGCCCAAGCCATCTGCCAGGCCTACAAGGCCCTGTGCCCACCTCACGGACACCTCACTCGGCTGCAGGCCCCTCCTACTGGCTCCTCGAACGTGCCACAACCACTGTGCTCTACAGCGTGTGGCAGCTTGGAAAGAGAGCCTCCCCCTGAGGTGGAGCGGGTCCCTTCTCCTTGGTCCAGGGGGCTCACCTCCACCGTCTCTGCAACAGTGTTTGCGTGGAGCCCTGTGCTGAAGCAGCACCGTGAGGCCGCCGTGCCACAAGAGACCGTGTGCAGACGCCGCGGGTGCCACCCTGGCTGGGCCCATCGTCAGTAAAGAAGCTTCCAGACGCACCAGCCCCAGCTGTGGCGTCGCCTCAGCTCTGAGTGTTCCCGGCAGAGTCCCAGACGTCTGGAGGCAGCACAGGCCTCCTCACTGGCCCTGCCGACCTGTGGTGCACCAGCTCTGTGGCTTTCGGTCCTACTGGCCTCGGTTTCCCCTAGAGACGGGGCCCAACATCACGTCCAAGTCCCCATGGCGTCTCCAGGCCCAAGATGACAGGTGCACACCACGTCCACTTCCCGGGGAACGGTCTTCCACAGCTCTGCTCTCGCTCCGTGGCCCCGAGAAAGCCCTCCCCTCCCCAGCCTCAGTTTCCTCATGTGCTTAAAAAAAAAGACCTGGTCGGTGAGGCTCCGACCCCAGAGGCAGCTGCAAGGAGTCAGGGGCAGGTCTCCGGTCAGCCCAGGTGATCAGGGTCCATCACAGATCAGCGGTAAGAGAACGGGCTGCAGAGGGCGCCCCGGGTGTCGAGCAAACTCCAGCTCGGCATCTGCGCAGCTGTGGAAAGGCTGGAGTCAGAAGCTCGGGTGGTCTGAGTTCTGGGAAGAGGAGGGACAGAGCCTGTCCAGTGCCCCTGCAGCAGCACCGGGCCGTCGGCACGAAGCCCCTCCGAGAGCCCCGGCCCGCGTGGTGCGGACCACCCTGATCCAGGCCCCCCTGGTCCCCTGGGTGCCCATCCTGACACACAAATCCTTGCCGTGGGGAGAAGAGGGAGGGCTGCTCACTTGGGCCAAGAGCCCCACCCCCTCCCTGCACACCCCCCACCCCGGGCCTCGGCCCTGCACCCTGGGCGGCAGCTGGGCAGACGTCTCTCACAGACACCCCCGCTCAGGGTCACCTCGACTTGCACAGGGTGAGGCAACAGCCCCGCAGACCAGAGGCAGCCAGTCAGAAAGCCCCAGGGAGAGGGTTCCCTCTGTCACACACTAGGAACGGAACACTGGGTGGTCACCTCCCTCCTTCAGGGTGCAAGCCCCCCAGGGAGACGGAGGGAGGCCGCCGGGGCTGGGACGCGAACAGAGTCCGGCTGCAGGGATGGGACCGGGCCCTCGGCACCCCATCAGGTGCCCCCGCCAGGCGTGGCCTCCATTATCAAATGTGCACCTGTGTACCTGTGACTCAGGTGGGACGGCCCGGTTACTAAGGGAAGGGGGCCCTGCCGAGACCCCCGTGAGGACGGGTCAGGGCCCCACACCACCCAACCTACCCCCACGCACACCTGCCCCATCCAGCCCGTCTCCAGGCGGAGACCCCACAACACACCCAGTGGATTGGTAAGCGCCCACACACAGGCCTCAGTCCCGAGACGCCACCGTCTCCAGCAAGGGGGAGGGAGGGGCTTGGAGCTCTGGTGACTGCGGCAGGGACCCTGAGCTGTGGGCCCAGCGGCCGCCAGAGCCTCCAGGAGCACTGCCACCCTCCCCACAGCACCCTCTGCTCCCACTGTGCACCCACCCCCTGCACCCGCCCCCTGGATCATCATCAGGCTGCAGCCAGGCCTGACTGGATCTCCGTGGGGCCGGGCCCAGCACCAGGTGCAGACGGCATCATTGCCTCCTCCAACAGGACATCACCCAGAAGGGTCCGGGCCCACCCAGGTTACAGGGCCTGTCACGCAGCCGGGAGGGGACAGGCTGGCCCTCCCCACGCCCCACTGCCGCAGCCCGTCAGCACACGGGTCTAGGGCCAAGCCGGCCCAGGCACCAGGCTCCAGAGGCGGCAGGGTGCTGGGGGGTGCGACGGGGAACGGGGGGAGAGCACCATGGGGCGTTGTGGGGCTGCGCCGAGGGAGGGGTTCTGGAGTAGAAGAGGCAGGCCGTGCTGGAGGGCAGGATGGCCGATGCATCCCTAGGGTCCCCTGCTTCACGGGCTCAGGCCTCTACCCGAACAACGGCCCGGGGCCGTCTGTGGTCACGGGAGCAGGACGCAAGAGGCCAGGTGTTTCTGGTGGAGGAAGCTGAGTCGCAGCCCCTGAGGGAGGTGGCACCAGGCGGGCTCCGGAAGAAGAGATGCCCCCCGTGAAGGTGGAAGGGTGGGAAGCGGGGGCTGGCGTGTCCCCCTGTGCACCCCAGGCAGGGCCCCCCACCTGCGTCTCCTTTCTGCTCCTTGGGTACACTTGTCCTCGCTCGGAGCCCGGCTCACTGCAGCCTCCGGTGCCCCGGCACCCCCTCGCTCCGTCGTAGCGAGGCCGGGGCCCACAGCCCGTTCACAGATGGCGCCGTGAGAATCAGAGGGGAGGGCCTGTCTGGGCGTCGACCACCACGGGACTCGGCCAGTGCGCCCAGCCCCACGCCTGCTCGGAGGAGCCGGGACCAGCAGAGCACCGGAGCCGGGGGCCCTCCTGTCGGCTGCGAACCCAGGCTGACGACAGCTAGGTCATCCAGACGCCGTGCCTGGGGCCCTAGAGACAGGAGCCAGGGCCGCCCCGCTGCGTGGTTTCAAGGCTGAGGGTACCGCGGGCAGACTTCCCGCCAGGGCTCCTGGAATGACCATCCATCTGTCCAACAGCACTCTGGGTGACACCCCCAAGAGACAGACAAACCAGGTCCCGCTGTCACCTAGCTTCACACCACGGGGGAGAGAGAGCTACAACCCGGCCACCCTGGCCGACCTGGGAGCCTACGATGGTGTGCCCAAGGCAGGGTCCCTCACGGTCCCGACAAAGATGGCCAAGTCCACACCTGTCTCGTGCAAGGCGAGAAAATCACGTTCAGCCCTGAGGTTCACAGGTCACTAGCTTTATTCATCTTGAAGGAACGTCCTCTCTCCCAAGACCGGATCCCATCTACTTCCGTCGCACTGAAATGTCTTGCCTTCCACAAAATGATGGCGATAACGGATGCCATAATGGACTTTTTAAAATGTCCTTATCTGGCAAAATAAAAAAGCCAATGAACGTCGATGTGGAGAAAACAGAGCTGGTTGGCCCCCTATGCTGGTCTCCAACGTTCAGAAAACACGAACAGTCCACGATGAATGGGGCCCTGGAAGGTTCCGGGCTTGTAGCCTGGTTGGGAACTGCCCCTCGGGAGGAGGAGCCAGATGGGGGTGGGGGGTGGAGTGGGTATGGTCAGGGGAGGGGGTGCGGGGCAGGCAGGTGCTAAAGGCCAGAGTGGCTGCATCTGAAGATGGAGGCGGACGGGGCAGAGGCCCCCACAGCCCTCAGTCACCGCGGGCAGGCCCAGAGTCCGGCCGGGAAGGCAGGAGCCAGCTCTCCACTTCAGACCCACGTTGGTGACATCGGCCTTCAGCCAGCTGGGCAACACAGCCCAGGAAACGTGTTCGAGGGCCAGGGGCCCTGAAAATGCCATCGCTTGACCCAGGGGACACCACTTCAGGGACCTACCCCGGAACAGGCAAACACAGAGACCAACCCCAGCGCCCTCCCGGGGTCTGGTCATGCGGCTGACCAGCGGGAAGAGCCACAGATACGGCTCCAGGTCTCAGCGCAGTAACTACGCACATTGGACAGTGTCCTCCGCGGCTCCACAGAACGTGTTTTTAGTGTGTGATGAAGGGCACACGCACCCCAGAACCCTAACAGCAAAAGGCGGGACCGGAACATTATTCACTGAAATCCAAATCTGCAAGACGCGTAAGGATCTGGGAAGAGGCTGGCAGGAAATACCAAAATGTTAACAGTGCCTCCTCAGACATCCTGTGTGTCCAAATTTCCTATAATGAGCATATGCTACTTCCACGATCAGAAAACAATACGTTATTTTAAAAAAGAAATAAAAAGAATAATTAAACAAAGAGTTGCACAGAAAATCTGCAAGGGCCCTCAGCTGCCTCAGGCTCTGGACCCCCACGCTTGGCCGGAGTGGTCTCAGGCAGCCCGTAGGGACGGCCGGAGGACAGGCAGGCGGGCGGGCGGGCGGGTGGGGTGGGTGGGTGAATAAACAGACAGAGGGAGCCGTGACCCCTCCAACGGACATCACTGCCAGGAAGAGACGTGAGGTCTTGGCCGCGGCCCACACCCCCCGAGCACGTTTGCTCCGGCATCCACACCGTCGTCTTTCCCAGGCAGGAGGCTCAGGCTCACACGGGACCCTCCCGGGGTCCCCTGGCAAGAAGGTGGCAGGGGGAACACCGGCTTCACTGCAAGTCTCAGGACCCCACCTCGGTGCCCCCCAACCCACGCCACGCCGGGACCACGTGGCGGCCTTGTCACGTCCCGCCAGGCCCAGGGTGGCAGGGCGTAAGCAGAGCTGCCCCCCGCCCCCTGCCAGCCAGGCTACCCCCCTGGAGAGGTCCCCTTCCTTCTTCCCCAGGGACCCAGCCCCCCGGGGAAGCCTTTCCGTCAGGAGAGGAACTCACCCGAGGCCATTGCTTCACCCAATCCAACCCAGGGCCGGCCTCTAGGCAACCCCAACAGGAGCCCCTGGGGGCAGAGTCAAAACCACAAAGCCACTCACCAACCCAGCCCGTGTGTCCACTACGTGCAGGCGGCACGAGTGTGCCCCCCAGAGGGTGACGCCGGGCACGCGCGGCCTCGGGCTCGGGCGGCCAGCGGGGCTGGCCCTCGGGCGTGTGGGGCAGGTGCGGGGTCCGGGCAGCTGCTGCCCCGGGACGTGGACAGGCAGGCGTGCGAGGGGGTGCAGGGCACACCCGGGCACGCCCACGGCCACACACACGATCGCACACTCACAGGCTCTCCCTCAGCTCCTGCGTGTCACTCGGTGTCCCCAGGGACCGGAGGCTCTGCTCCAAGGAGCTCGCTGCCAGGAAAAGGGAAGGACATAAGGAGCAGAAAGACCTCCCCCGGAGACCCCCAGACTCCAGCAGAGGAGGGCCGGGGGCCCGGACATGGACATGGGGGCCAAGGCCAGGGAGACCAGCCAGGTGACTGGGGGCAGCTTCTGCCACGGCCCAGCCCCAGCCCCACAGCACCTCCCAGGCAGGGACCCTCCCCCTGTTCGGGCACAGGCCCCCAGGCCCTGGTGGGCGCAAAGGCTCTTGGGAGCCGCCTCCAGGGCCCTCAGCCTCCAGGGCCCCTGGGTCTGGGGATCTCTTTCTCCTCTCCTGGTCAGCACTCTCCGGCGGGCCTGACAGAACTCAGGGTTCGGGGCAAACATCAGCCCTCACCCACAGAGTGCAGCGAGCCACCCCTGTGTCCCTGTGTCCTCCTGCCTCCGTCCCCCCCCCCCCCCACCGCCCCTGCCACCGTCTGCAGGAGCTAATAAGGATAAGGCCTGGCCCAGCCCCGTGAGGCGTGACTGTCGCTCCTGACCCCAGTACCCTCGACCCGTGAGCCGACCTGCACTGCCCGTCTGAGGGAGGCTCTGAGGCCGCCCTCCCCCCGGGGATGCGTCCAAGTCCAAATCACAGCAGCCGGGCCAGGGAGCACACACGGGCCCGCCCCGCCCTGCCCTGCCCTGAGGCCCCAGGGCTCAGCCCATGCTGTCCTAAGAGAGACGACAGGGTCTAGGCTGCAGGGTGGCCGGGTCAGGGGAGGGCAGTGGGCACGCCACCTCCCCCAGTCGCCTCGACCTCCTGGGGCGTGTTCGGTGGCCCGGGCGGCCAGGTGGGGAGGGGTGAGGCTGGGCCCACCACGGACTCACCGTTGGAGTTGATCCGGAAGACGCTGGCCGATGTCTGCTGGAACAGCTCCTGGAGGTCACCTGGGTCCACCTGGGTGGCTAGAAGACAGGAGAGGGAGCACACAGGTTCACGGAGCAGGGGCTGCAACACCCTCCCAGCTGGGGTGGCCCCACGGTGTCAGAGAGGGAAGAGCAAGCCCGCCCCGGGGCACCCAAAGCCCCTGGAAAAGGAGGAAAGCAGGGGCGGCCCCTCAGAAAAGCCCCACCCGGGTACCAGCTGCCCCCAGCGCCCCTGCACCTGCACATGGGGCGCCCTTGACAGAAACGAGAGCCCAGGCCCACACGAGAGCCTGCACAGCCGAGGTCACTGCAGCTTTATTTATGTCACAAAACAGAAACAACCCAACGGGGGCATCTGGGGGCGGCCGGTTAAGCACCGTTAAGCGTCTGACTCTCGATTTCTGCTCAGGTCACGATCTCACGGTTCACGGGATCCAGTCCCATGTCCGGCTCTGTGCTGACACAGCACGGCCGGCTTGAGATCCCCTCTCCCTTCTCTCGGCCCCTCCCTGGCTCGTGCTCCGGTGACTTTTCTCAAAATAAACACACGTTTTTAACACAAAGAAGGCAGCAACAACCCAACGGCCGGCATCTGACGACGTGGGGTCCGAGCCCACGGCGAGCACCACGCAGCCTCGAGAAGGAGCTGGTGGCGACAGCACAGCGACGGCGTCGCACCGGTGAACGCGGCCGGACACGGGCCTCCCACCGCGCGGCTCCGCGTACGGGAGGAGTTCAGGTCCAGGGACAGAAAGCAGACCCGTGGCTGCCGGGGGCCGGGCCAGGGGACGGGATGGCTGCTGACGGCCGTACGAGTTCTCTTGGAGCGACAGAACGTTCTGGATTACTCGCGGGGATGGTCGCGCACACTGCAGGATACGCCACCAAGCACAGAAACGCCCACGTGAAGGCGGACAACGTGGTGAATTTTATGTTGTGTGAACTTTATGTCGATCTGAAAGACCACGCTGAACATCGTGTGGTTACCACCCACTCCTAGGGGGACAGGAAGGCCCACCCCACCAGGCGAGCTCGAAACTCTCGTGGATGCTACGGAAAAGTCTGCCCCCTTCACGGGACGAGGCCCTGCCCGTGGCCACGGCCTCTTGGGTAGCTACGCACAGAAACACAAACGTGCCCGCACGAAGCTTGTGTAAGACACGGTGGCTTCGTTCTCAGAACCTGGAAAGGCTGCCACCAGCCGGCAACAGAACGCACGGGGCCCCTCACCTGAGGGAGCCTGGGACAGGAAGGACTCCCACGTGTGTCTACACTACCTACTACTACTGGCCCGCAGGGAGGCTGGCGCCTCAGCCTGAATGGGCCAGACCCAGACGGGGATTTGTGCACGATGACAAGGTCAGGGTGCACACTCTGAGCTTAACGCAGAGGCAGACGGGTGGGAGGCTGGTGTGCGTTCTCCTACAGGACAGGCACAGGCAGGGGCGCAGCCTGGCCGCCTGCCTCACCCGCTACATGCTGGGAGGAGAGATCCAGCTCCAAGAATCGTTCCTGTTCTCCAGGTCTGTGTGTAGGTGATCCCAGAGGCCACCTACACTGGGACAAACAGCCACCCTTCTCAGAGCCACCTGCCTCCGGACATCCCTTCAAGCCCTTTCCCTGGCTTGTCACCGTGGCCTGTGCCCTGGGCCAAGTCCTGCCCCCGCCGGTGCCCTGTCTACTCCGGACCCCACGGGGCATGCGTCTTTCCAGATAACACGGGCTTACGGCCTTTGAGACATTCTGTCTCCAAACCAAGGATGACGAGGCTGAGCTCCCAGAGGCGCAGAGAGTGGCCCCAGGAAAGGGCAAAGGGGGGACTGGAACTGCAGCCTTTCCAAAGGTGAGGAGAGCTACATCCCACAGGGCGGGGCGGGGCGGGGCGGGGCGGCCGAGGGTCTCAGCAGGAGACCAGACCTCAGATGCAGCTCTCCAGCCTCCACTCCACTGGTCAGTGCAGAGCCCTCAGGGCGGGCGAGCGGGTGATCGGGCCCATTACTGGCCAGGGTCAGGGTGTGGGGGGCGAGGGTGTGGGGGACAGGGTGTCGGGG